ACACGGCACGCAGGGAGGGGCGGAGGGACCGGGTCTGGGGGTGACCCTGACACGGCGGAGGGACCGGCAGCCGCTCCCACCTGCGCTGGGGAGCCCAAGGGGCAGCAGGCCTGCGCCCCGGACGGAGCAGGGTCTGGGCCACAGGCTGGTTTTCCAGATCTGGGGCTGAACGTGCATGACTGCTATTCTGTAAGTAAGGGAATCTCGCTCACAGAAGTCATATTTTTTTCCACTGTGACAACCTCACCAGCTCTGCCTTTCTAAGTCATGACTCCACCCCCCGGGGGTCGAGACAAGCAGCCCAGACTCGTGGGGGGCAGAGACGGCCAGCCAGGGCTGCTCCAGCCGGGGCTGCTCCGGGTGGCTCCCCGCTCCCAGCCCCTTCCCCAGAGGCCAGGCCGCCTGGGACGCGGGGGCCACGCGTGGAGGGCAGCCCGAGGTCTGGGCTGGACTCACTGTTTCCTGAAGCAGACAGGAGCTCACACCCCCCAGGGCACCGCCAGGCTGCAGAGGACACGCCCTCGCCGCCTGTCTCCCTGCAGCTGCTGCGTTTAAGGACGGGGAGCAGAGGCTGAGAGCCCTGACCTCCCGCCAGCTCCATGTCCACCTTTAAAAAATGCCAAGGCCCTAAGTACCACAGTCACGTGACCCGCTGTGCCCGAAAACGGCCCCGGGGCCTTTCCCCTCCTCCATCTCCCTGAAATTTCACTGCAGCTTTTCCAGGAAAAGGCACATTCCAGAGGTTACAACAGAACCTCTGGTGGCTTTCTTCCCTCGGGAGAAGCTGGCACCCCCGACAGAACAAGTAGGGGTCCACACAAAACACCCAGGAAACAGAGGAAGCTCCGCTCCTGGGGTTCAGCTGGAAAAAATCAACGCCCAGGCCACATATCAGCTGTTTTGAGGTGGGGGCCGGCCCAGAAGAAATGTTCTTAAATTTGTGGCTCAGACTGACGACCACAGTAACTCCACCACCGTCTGTGCGCCCAGCAGGGCCAGCAAGGAGGTGCCCTCCACCCAGGACTGTTCCCCAGGCCCCGCCAGGCGAACACCAGCCACGCCTGCCTCTTCTGAGTGCCAGTCCCAAACGGGGCAGGCCAGCCCTCCGCCCTGGGCTGAAGGGCTGAGCTCCCGCAGACCCGTAGGAGGGTCTGCTGAGAACGTTCCAGAACAGGGCCCTCGACAAGCACTCCGCAGAGTCTGTGGGCTGGATGAGGGCCACGGTCACGGGGACTCTTGCCACCGGAGCAGGGAGGGGATTGGACCGGGCATCTGGCCACAGCGCAGCCCGGCCGTGAGCTCAGCCCGGCACAAAGGCCAATTCAGGGCCTCGGCAGCCCCCCAGGCCGCGGGCTCCCCATTTGAAACCACAATGGGTCCATTGAGCTCCCGGGAAGAAAGGGACATTCTTAGCATTTTTATGATCTGCTTAATTGAGTAGAAGAATTTCGAATAAAAAGCTGGACAGAGCTGCTCTCTCGCCCGTTTAACCCCTCAAATCCAGGCACTTTGGGGACGTAACCCCGAGAGCTGGTGAATTCCTCCCCAGGCTGAGGTCCGTCTCCGAGCAGCGGTGGAAGCCAGGCCTCCCGCTTCTCAGCCCAGAGCCCCCGGGAAGTCCCTGAGGCGTTTCATCCTTCCGGGCACCCGCCAGCCCCCCAGCCGGGGCCACAGCATCCTCTCGGAGGGAGTCCGCTGCCCAGGGCCCGCCCAGGGGGCCCACGGCTCCACGGGCTGCCAGCCCCCCCTTCCACTCGGGGTCTGGGGAAACGGTTCCCGACAACCCTAACTTGCTTTCAGTTCCTGTCCTGAGAATGCACCCAGGGGCGCGGGCTGCGCGGGAGACGCTGGCTGCAGGCCCCATCGCCTGTCGGGAGATTAGTCCTCCGCGTGGACAAAGGCAGGGGTGCGAGGCCTAGTGTTAGAGATGCCCCCCTTCCCCGCAACCCTCGGCCCCCGCGGCTCGAGGCCTTGGCTGTCTTCTTGTCCCAGTCTGCAGTCGTCACTGGCGACACCGCCCAGTCTGTGCTGACGGAAGCCACCAGAAACTCCACCGCACACACCACGGGCCGCTCGTGGCCAGCGCCTCCCTCGTTAGGACCGAGACCTTCCAGTCCTGATGCCAAGGTCCCAGCAGTTTCCCCAAGGCGGGGAAGTGTTTGTCCGGGCGACAGCTCCCTGCGTCCCCCGCCCAGTCCCGCCTCCTTCGGCGCCGAGCCCTCGTCCCGCCCACGCACCTTGCTCTCTGGAGATATCCGCCTTGTACCAGAACTTGGATGTGTCTTGGACAAAGTTCACGGTCACCTGCTTCTCACCTGGATTATCTGCAAAACAGAATTTAACGACAGTCATTGCGGAGGGCGTTCTTTCCGGCAGCCTCTCACCCCGCAGGGCACTGGGAGTTCACAGTCCCACCGGGGCGTGGACGGGGCGCAGGCGGGGCGTCTGGGGAGCGCACTCTATCTGCCTACAGGGGAGGCCCTGGCGCAGAGCAGGGCGTGCCCGTTTCATGGCACAAACACACAGTTGGCCGGGCAGGAAACCGCGTGGCGGGCGCTGCTCCCTCCCGCCAGCATCTGACCGCCTCTTCCACGTTTGAACATTTCACAATTAAGTTTCCAGTGGCTCCGTCCCATGTGTCTTTGACGTTACTTTAGCAGAACAGGGATTCCAAGCGAGAGGAAGAAACCAACGAATGTCTGCACTTTCTGCTGCACTTTTTCTGGCTTTGGGCTGGCGACATGGGAAGGACCCCTGGAGGTTCTGGATTTTTCCTCCAAGGAGCTCACAGGGCAGCCCAGCTGCAACCCCGGGGCCCTCCCTCGCCGCGTGCGGGCGGGGACGCACCTACCTGGGGACGGCGTGGCCGCCTCCGAGGCCCTGGAAAAGTCCGGGAGGACGTTTGGGAAAGGAATGCTCATGGTGCTCCCGCTGTGAGGGCTGGAGAAGCCGCTGGAGGATGGGGAGGCCGAGCCGAAGGACCGGTCCCCCTCCGAGGCCCGCTTCTTCTCGGGAAGGGGCGGCTGCCCCGGCAGGGTCAGCCCCGGGCCCTGCAGGACCGGGCTGTGGTGGCCGCTGTGTCCCGGCGCCGCCGTGAGAAAGCCGTGAGACAGGAAACCGTCGCCGGCAGGCTCCACGGCGGCCCGCGGGGGGCCGAGGGCCGGGGATGCTCCGTGGGAACCGGCCAGCAAGGCCCCCGCGTCCCCCCCGGGAGGAAGGCCAGCTCCCCCGGGGGCTGAGCAGAAGCTCAGGAAGGCCTGGCTGCTCGGCGGCCCTAGTGCTTCCGGGGGGGCCGTCAGGGACAGCTGGTGGCCGTGGAAGGGCGTCTGGAGCTCGGCGGGCGGGAACTGGGGCCGCCCGGAGCC